ATAATTGGATTTTACCTTTTATAGTAATTTTTTTAATAAGTGGAGGTTGTCTTTTGAAATTTAAATTTAAAAAGTCAAATTAAATTTGTATAGAATCCAATGCTCAACTCTTGCTGCTCACGCATTTGCTATAACAAAGGAAATAAAATAAATTTATATTTCATAATATTTATCCGCTGGTATAACAAAGGAAAGAAAACAAATTAATTTAATCATTGTACATAATAATTTTGGTTGGATATTTTTTTAGTCAAATCTTTACTGTTTTGTTTTGTAAAGTAATATGGAAACATGTGGATTCTAATAATTTTTATTCTTGCATAGTTGGTGAAATAAAAATATAGATCTTTCATGATTTTCGAACTAAACTGAATCAATTAAATTGATTCTTATTCATGTCCAAAATTTTGGTGCTATTAATATTTATAATGAAAGTAAAAAATAAATTTAATTATAGTCCATAATCTGGTCAAATAAAAACAAAAAAATCACCAACGATCTTCCAAATATCCTTCGCAATTGTAGAACAACCCAATATGCAGTATTTAATCACAATTAACTTCCAAATATTTATATAGTTCTCCTACACAAATTTTTCAAAAAAAAATAAATATTTAATTATATACTATTAGACAAATAATAAAATTGAATATTATGTAAATCAGTGTCCATATCAAAACTAATTAAGATGGAATACATGTTTCATGGACGCGATAAGCCATAATCCTAACGAAAACAGTAACTTTTATTATGTATCACATTAGCTAGATAAAATTATAGTACGATTTTATTCTTTTTCAAAGATATTGAAAAAATCCTAACAAATTACAAATCTATTATGTTTGGTTATTGAGAATTGTATGACATCTAAATCTTCTAATATTATTTACAGATGCTAACAAATAAAATAAGCACTGAGAATCTGATTAAAAATTGATAAATATTTACATAAACATACGTATAACTATTATTCCCCCTACAAAACAAAACACATATATAAAGAACTATCCTCCTAAATTCTACAACACAATCTTCGACTTTCCTCAATCCTATTAATCTTATACCGCACCAACAAAGAGTTGTGTTGTTTGTTTAGAAGAAATATCATTATTGTATTGTTTGTTTATAATAGAAATCATTATTTCTTTGCGTTAATCGTTTTCTCAAGATATATAGACTTCATCTTATTTTTAATCATATAACTGCAGATACTTGGAGTCTTTTTGTGCTATTCACAGTTTATTACAAAAGAACAAGTTATGAAGAAGACTACGGGTGCAAATTTCTTACATTCCAACATCAATCAAGCCAAAGCAAAAAATAGACCAAGGGATGAAAACAACACTACTATTGTTGCAGAATTGGGAATTATCAACAATAAAAGAACCAACAAATAAGGCTGCTAAATGATGAAAAAAGGACAAAGGTACCAATTATATGGTTGTCATAAAAGATATGAGATTAGTATAGGACTTAGCATATTTTATTTTCTTTAATTTTATCATATCATGAGATAATAATTTACAACTGTTGCCTGTTATGGTTTATAAGAATGTTTGATGTTTGAGGTGCGCCTTCTTGATTTTGTGCATTTCTGTACTATCTCCATCATCCTCATACCATCTTGCTCATACATGAAGGGCAAGATCATGTAAACATAATGACAAAATTGAAACTTGCATGTTCCAAGCATGAAACTCAAGTGTTGCTATTTAATTTTAGTATCTTAACATTTTGCAAATATTATAAAAAAAACTTAAGTATCCGAATAACAAAATATATTTTACACTATACACTTTTGTAAACTAGAAATTGTAAAATAAACTTTGATTTCACTACTTTAGCACTAATACTTCCTTTTATAGTCACGATGGACTGTTAATGGTCGTTTGATGCAGTTGACTCAACCTCCACTATTAGATCCTTTTTTTTTCATTTTTTTTAGTCAAAATTTAGACTGTTTTTCGTGTTTGGCTACTTCCCGTTTCAAAATTAAATCCACAAATGACCAAATAAATGATGGGCAGATCCCCGCCATTTTAACCAAAGGCCCAATTTGTAAAAAAAAAAAAATAAAACAATGGCCCACTAATATTAAATTATTTTTCAAAATTTTTTACAAAAATCTCGCCCCCTGTAAATTAATTAATAAATTTATTGTATAAAATTAAATTAATTATTTATATTTTGGTATAAAGTGGACAATTTTATTTTTGGTAGAAATATGTTATTATTAATAAATGTTCAATTCTAATGGGCGATTTTATTTTGGTATGAAATGTCCGAATTTAAATGATGTGGATTTTATTTGCTATAGATAGAAGTTAATTTGAAAATTTTGAAAACAATATAAGTATCATGAAATTTATTTGGTGTGTGTATGAAAGTCGAAATTTAATTTGATTTTCTATAAAATCAAGTTGATATGATTTTCAAAATTTAGCATATTCTCATAACATATTCAATTAATGTAGGTTTTTAATTTATAAATATTACTTAATTAGCATTTTTAATTATAAATATTAATGAATATCTCTTAATTACACGTGCATCGCACGTGATTCATACTAGTTTAAAATATAATGATTAAAGTTAAATTATTGGAACTGATATGTATGTAAAAATATGTGAATAAATAAATATTGAATTGAAGTTAAATGATGACGTGCGAGGATGATTGATTGATATTATTTAATTATACGGATAGTATTTGAGTAATGTTGAATTAAATGAATTTTAAGTTGTTTTTTGAGTTAAAGGTGTAAAATATTATCGGTTTAGTTAAAACCAATTTTACTTTATAGCCAATGATTTTCAATTTGTTGAGAGTCTTGAGACAAACTTGTCAATTTATTCCCTTTTTTTAGTTACTCGAGTTGGGAGTCTTGTTGGAAGAGAAGAATGAACCATTCTTCTTCCCCTTCACTCCTCCCTCTCCTTTTGTCAGGCTTTCGATTTCATCAAGCACTCTGAGTTCTACGCTGCCCACACTCTACAACAATGTGAAAAGGTTTCCCCTCAATGGTCTTGAGTGTGCTTGCGTCTGTGTGCGAGTATATTTGGGTGAGCTTTAGTTACAGAGTGATTCTCGTGTGGTCTTTTTTTTTCCTTTAAAAATAAAAATAAAAATTGTAGGCGAATTGAGCAAACCGAAGGCCCATCTGATTCAATTCCTTTAGCTGGTTGGAATCGGAATGCCGTCCTGGTTAGCCATAGATTGGTGAAGCATTGGGTATTTGTAAAATTTATGTAGTTTTCATGTGGACTTTCTGTTGAACAATAAGAAATTGACTGAAAAATTGCGCCGTTGAAGTGTCTCAATGTTGGTACCAGGACGATGTCGTTAAGCCTTTACTTGAAGTCACAAAAAGTGCTCTACTCCATGACTGCAGTGTTTTGTGGTTGGAGGTATATTTCCTCTATGACGTGTTTATCTCATACATTATCCGAGCACTTTTTAGCTTTGCTTTCCGTGCTACACAATACGTGCATGGCAGAATGTCACCTGGCAAAGTTACTTCAAGGATAATATCTATTCTTGATATTTACATTGGGAGTTAAAGAAATTATGAGCAATTGAGAAATGGATTCTTTATTTCTTTACACTTGAGCTCTGGGGAAGGACGTACTCAGAAAATTTTCTTTTATTTTAAGCATAGCAGCTGTGTTATAATGATAAGATTTGACAAGTCGTCTTCATCGCTTTCTTTATCCAAAACTATGTTACCATTTGTGGATTTTACTTTTATTCAGGCCGATTCTACAAGTTTCTATACTCACGGTTTCCCCAAATTAGCCGTGTGAATTTTATTAAATTCTTTCATGTTATGATTTTTTTAGGCATCATAGGAAGTACACTTCAAAATGCCTTGTAAAATATGAAGTGGTTTTCTGAGAACATTTTTAACTGATTCATTTTTCATTAATTCTCCTAAGTTCTTCTGGATGCATGGCAGGTAAAGCCATTCAAATGTGCAGTTCCTAACACGCCCCAGCCGAGTGAAAACCCGATTGATGAGTCAGTTGCTGGACTTTAGCCCGAAAGTTAAGAAATGAGGACAGAAAGGAAATTCCAGAGGGGACCAAGCAAAAGAAAGAGACAAAAGTAGATGTAAAATCTTCCCTTAAGGCTGCCTTTGCAAAATACTCTAATCGGATTGGTCACAAGAGACGTGACCAGTTCTGGGTGAGACTGTGGAGATGATTGTTGAAGATATTAAAAAAAAAAAGAAAAATCAAAACAATTCAGATATGTTAGTATGGTTATATTTTCAGGAAACTCAATCTATCATGTAATATTTGAAGGCATAGCATTTAGCTATCTTACTTGTTTGTGATTCTGTATACTTGCGAGTTGCGATCATGTTTCTTAAAGACCTTTCCTCATGGCAGTCATGACAATGAGAATTAGAAGTTTGAGTTAATGCATATTCGTTCTTGATTAGTGGAATGGCAAAATTTCAACCAGGGCTTTTAATCAAGGATGCAAAATATATTTAATTATTTTTTTCCTTTTTTTGGGGGGGAAATATGAAACAAACAAATTAATTGTGGTATATATAAGAACTCGGAAGTAAGCAGGAGTTCCAAAATTTAGAGCCTGTGGCTGTCATCGTTTTCTGCACATATATCCCTAAACTTTTGTGCAGAACTTGACATGTGTGTACTGCTCTCCCTCCTTTACAGGTAAAAAATTCAAATGTTATGTGTATCATTGAGAATATTTTCTAAGATGCTCTTATGTGGCAGCTCAATGATGCAAAAATATCTTTAATTATTTTTTTCCTTTTTTTTTTGGGGAAATATGAACAAACAAATTAATTGTGGTATATATAAGAACTCGGAAGTAAGCAGGAGTTCCAAAATTTAGAGCCTGTGGCTGTCATCGTTTTCTGCACATATATCCCTAAACTTTTGTGCAGAACTTGACATGTGTGTACTGCTCTCCCTCCTTTACAGGTAAAAAATTGAAATGTTATGTGTATCATTGAGAATATTTTCTAAGATGCTCTTATGTGGCAGCTCTTTATGAATCTATCAGAGTAGTCAACATATTTGGTCCACAAAGGCCGAAGCTGTGGGAATGCTATGTCGAGCCAAGGCTTTGCTCGGCCATTGAAATGAATGACACCAGCATTTTCAACATCTGCAATAGTTGTGTTATCTTGGTATCCTAGCCCAAGCATGTGCCAGAAGGGACTGATGACATGTACATGACCGTGGAAAGCTATGAGGCCAGGAGGTAAGGTTCCTAGCTGCCACAAGCTTAGCTCCGACTTCAGATTCTGCATTTTGGGGAAAAAAGGGATCATTAGAGAATCTATAGATGTTCGATCTCATTGTCTCACAAGTAATATTTCTTGACTACTCACAGGAATCTGAAAAATTGTAAAATCTCAAATACTATTGAAGCAGTTGCCAACATCTGCACATTCTAATATAGCATTGAGTTGAATTAAAATGACTGTCCCTGAAGTTTAGCCTATTTTAAAAATCTAGTTATATTTGCCAAAGTATATATAGACCCTTATGGTATTACAAACATCCTCTGTAGTTGTTTCAATATGTGAATTAGAAACATATATTAGCATGGCATTTATAGTGTCATTTGATGGGACATCAAAGCTGTATTTTAAAACTGTCCCTTTTATCCCCTCACCACCCCAACCCAATGTTCCAGGCTTCTAAGGCTATGTACAACGCAATCTGATGGTTACCTGGTCAAGCCAGAAATGGTATGTCCGGCTTATATTAGTCCTCCTCCAAGCTTCTAAATCAAAGACGTTCATGCCATAGGCCCATGCGCATTCATCAGGATCGAAATTATTCGCTATCAGAGGATGAGAAAAATTCAAATAGCTCTTGAACCTCTTGGACATCACATATTTATCCCCTCCCCTGCATGTCTCCACAGCCCCATTGACTTTCCCATTCATGTCGATGTCCCAAAGAGGCGAGAGATCCGTTTGGACAACAATATCATCGTCCAGGAATACTACTTTGTTAAGACTTGGAAACAACTGCCAAAATAAAGGCACACCATCAAGACTCGAAGACTAATTTTTTGTCCTTTTTTTTTTGTAAAATAATTGTGTTAATATGTTTGTTTGTAATTGAGATGTTCAGTCTAAAGACATAATAAAAGAAAAAAAAATGGAGGGAGTTGACATTTAAGAGGAGACCAACCTCTGGCAAATTTATGCGAATGTGGTTCATGAGCGAGTTGTACTTGGGGCTCAAGGTCTGCAGCTTAGCAGCAATGACATACGGCTTCTCTGTATTATTCGCAACAATTGCCGACGATCCTCCCCTGAACCGGGACCTCACTTTCTGATCCTTCTCCATGGCCTCCAGAACCGGGACCTTCCCTCTCGTAAACCAATCAAAATGATGCAGAGCCTTAACCTCGATAATGGCAGGCCCCAGAGAGTGGAGAGAGAACCACGCTTGCATCGGGTAATACGTTTTCCTATCCGTAATTATGTGCAAGACGACTTTTTCAGGGTGCAATGAGTTCTGGACGAGCGAGGATGCAACAACAGAGGCTGCCAATATATTATCCGAGGCAAGCACGAAGTGGAAGTAGGAGTTGTCAACGAGAGCCGGGACTAGTTCGGGAGAGGGCAGCTGGAGGCGGGCATTAGCGTTGGTTGAGTGCTCATTGGCCAGTTTTAGGGCGAGGCAGTGTAACTGCTTGGGTATGCTGCTAGAGGCCACGTGTCGGTACAGATATTCTTGGATCTTGGCGGTTCTCGTCCTTTGTTCAAGGAGCGTGACCTGGAAGCCACCGCAAATGTCAGATTTTTTTTTTTTTTTTTTTTTAAAGTTTAGAGAGTCGTTTTATCTGCGGATTAAGTCCGTTTAAGTATAGATTGAAAAAAAAAAAAAAAATTTATTATTATAATTGTGCATGTAAAATGACTATTTTTTTTTCACCTCTCGTAAGTATGTTAAAGGTGTAGGTATTTATAGTTATACATACAAAATCAAGATTTTAGAGGTAAAATGGGGGGTGGTGTTAGGAAATCAAATAATTTTTGTTGGTCTCCTTCTGACTGACTGAAACAAATTTTATTTTGTACCGTGTCAAATAGAATGAAACCAGGGAGTATATTTATGTGTGGGTGCATGCAAGGTTATTTTTCAGGTTTTGATGCAGAGTGGTGGAGTATTTTCACGGGAATGTTTGTTTGAAGACATGTTTGAACCGTAAGTACCATAGCTTTGAGCTTGACTGCAAAGGTCTTAGCATCAGGTCGTTCATCTTTCATTTCTGCGATAAAATCTTCCATTGTTTGAGGAATTTCTTGCTCTACTGGTTGAACTTCGGTTTGATCGACAGGTTCTTCCAGTACTTGATATATCACTTCAGGTACCTGACAGCAAAAAAATTTCAATGTTTGAATTTTAGCTTCACGACAGTATTGCTGGTACATAACTATCATTTATTGCTGGCAAATCTCTATCGGTTGATTTCTCAGGTCAAATTTCAAATTTCAAGTTTGCGACTCGTTGCTGCCAAATTCAGCTCAACCAGGTTTGACATTCATATTATGAAATTGATAGAGGCGAGTAGATTACGGTAGGCTCAAGTCTTGGTCCCAGGATTCTTGGTCCTATTTTTTTGCTCAGGCAACCTGCATTTGTTAAAGAACACGATTCTGTCACTGATCAATTGCAGAGGTGGGAATTTAGCTTCTGAATTTCAATCAGATATAGCTATAACGTGCTTGATTTTTTTAAGTTGTATGTATTAGTATCATTTCTGATATGACTTGCTGCATTTTTCGTATAATTAAGGAAAATATACCATTGCACTTGCTGGGAGTATTTATACAAAACTCAAGAGAATGTATCATTTTTCCTTTTAAGTTCTCTATCCCAAACATTTGTGATACTCTTCATCAGTATAGTAACATAGTTGGAACGATTGTTAAATCTCATCAGTAGATGAACTTCAACAATAGTTTTTGCGATTTGCTTCTTTACAACTTAAATCTAGAAAATTGTAAAATCGACAAATCGTTATACAATTAATAGTCAAATAGTTGAATATGCAGGTTAATATGACAGTCTTAGATATTGCAAAATCTCCAAAGACAACCTTTTGGTATAACTTCTTTTTTTTTTTTTTTT